CACTTTTCATACAGCAGTTCACATATACTTTGTCTCATGTCATTGACCAAAATTTACAATGCAGCAGCTCCCCTCCCACTTCCTCCCCATCCAAGGCTGTAAATCTTTATAGAAGCAGATCACCCATCTTTCTTCTGCGGAGTGGCTGGTTTGAACCACTGACCTTTTTGGTTAGCAGCCAAATGCCTTAACCACTATACCACCAGAGCTCCTTGGAACATAGTAAACCGAAAAAAACAAACTCAACTGTGGTCAAGTAGATTCTGATTCATAGCGACCCTTCCTTGGGTTCCTGAGGTGGTATCTCCACAGAAGTAGTTTGCCCAGTCTTCCTTTCTAGGAGTGGCTGGTAGGTTTGAACTGCCAGCCTTCTGGTTAGCAGTCAGATGCTTTAGGCACTACACCACCAGAGCTCCTAGGAGCATATAAGGAAGGTGAGAAATGTACTGGTGCAGGGTGGAAAGGTCAAGAGAGGTCAACCCATGCAGGGCCTCTTAGACCTGGGTGAAGACTTAGCTTATGTTTTATTCTACAGACAGTGGGAAGATACTGAATTATTTTATGTAAGGGGAAGGGGTGAAGATAATCTCTGAGGAAGCATAAACTAGTGGGGCTTCTAAGTTGCAGTCTGATGCAGTTTGGTGAGGTTACTTGTGATCTGGAAGACTGGGCTGTTTCCCCAAATGTGTCTTCAGTAGTGGAGGACTGCCTTCAGTAACAGTAATGTACTGGGTTTAGCAGCATCTAATTCTCTCCCTCTAGCTCCGTCAGACCATGATTAAGTTCCTTCAGGAGCACTTGGCCCCCAAGGCCCAGGAGATTGACAGGAGCAATGAATTCAAGGACCTTCGAGTGAGTTGTGAGGCCCAACCCTTGGGGCAGTGGGGCAGTCTGTGGGAGCTGGGCTGGGCTGGGAATTGCACTCAGTCTTCTGGTGAGACCTCCCTGAAAATGTTGCCCCTTTCTCTGAAGCATTTAAGTCTTACTGCTTGCTGCAGCTGGGCCAGGCACCTGTGACTGACTGGCTGCCTTCTCACAGCTCACTCTATTCTGTTAACAGGAGTTTTGGAAGCAGCTGGGAAAACTGGGAGTATTGGGCATCACAGCTCCTGGTGAGTATCATTCTTTTTCCTAAATAGAACTTTTCTTGTGTGCCCTTTAACACAGTTCCAAGCAGCCAAGCGGGTCTTCAAACCTGTTCATTCTGGCTCAAGCCCCCTACTAAGAATTTGCCTTTCCACCCCAGATACCTGAATCAGAATCTACATTTTAAACAAGACCTCCCAAGGCAAGGCAAATATGAATCACCTGGGGGTCTTGTTAAACTGTAGATTCTGATTCAGTATATCTGGGGTGGAAAGGCAAATTCTCAGCAGGAGGTCAAACCAGAATGAACCAGTTAAAAGCCCTGGTTTCAAGAAGCAGGAAAGGAGGGAAAGATCATGCTCAAAGAAACTCAAAGCTCCCTCTCTCTTGAAACTGAAGAAACTCTCATTGACTGTCAACTTTATTTGTAAACCCCTCCATTCCATAAATGGCTCATGGTGCGTCAGTTATGCTCACCCAAGCCAGTTATGCTCCGCCATGCTCACCACAGGCAGGGTTAAAATAAGAGTTTATGTGCTTTTCCTGTCATTAACCTTTTTTGAAAAGTTTATACATATAGACACACACATGAGCTGAGTGAATAGCTTGAAAATTCTGTGCCTTAGCAGTTGGTGGGATCACTAAAGGTATGAGAATACAGGTTTATTGAGAACTGGGTTCATTGTCCAGACTTATGGAATACTAGCTGCACTGCAGTGAATTATTTAATATGACCCTTTCAGCCATAGTCTTTGTAACTCCCTGTGGTAGTTCAGTTTGTGTGTCAACTTGGCTGGGCCTGGTTGAGTGGCTGGGCAGCTGGTGATAGTTACTGGCAATCAACTCCATGGTGGGATCTACCACAAGCAGCTGAACAGCTGCCTTTGGGATGTGGTCTGCTTCCTGTATATAAGGAGAAGCCTTGGGAATGGTCTCTAGCATATGGCACGCTTGGACCCTGCATGTAGCTGTGTCATTGCTCAGCAGCCTGCTATGCTCTGCCAACCTTGGGACTTAACAATGGACTTAAGTTAATGGCCTGCCATGTGATTTGGTAACATCGACTGTGCCTTTTTACTTGTCAACCTTGGGGCTTCTCAGCCTCAGCAGCTAGCAGCTGTCTGAGTGAAGAAATGCCTCTAGCTTCAGTGGGCTGGGAGCAGGAGGCAGAGCTGGACCCCAAGGTTGAGGGGCTTTTACCCAGCCCCTAGAGCCTGGCACTTTGAGCTTGGACTTAAAGCCTCTAAATTGTAAGAATAAACTCCTGTTTGTTAAGGCCATCCCATTTGTGGTATATTCTTGTCAGAGCAGCATTAGGTAACCAGAACACTCCCATAAAGTTGTTGTTGTTGTGTGCTGTGGAGTCGGACCCAATTCATAGTGACCCTTCCTTGGGTTTCCAAGGCAGTATCACTACGGAAGTAGATTGCCCAACCTTCCTGCCGAGGAGAAAGTAGGACTATGCAAATGTGAGGTGTTTGCGGCCTGCCAAGGGGATGGATAGCTTGCTAATAATGTAATAAGGTCTATGGCATCCTTGTAGAATGCAGGCATACAAATAAAGTATATGGACACCTAAAAAGGGGATTGCTTAGTTTTGCCATCCCACTAGGCTTAAAATAAGCCATCCCAGAGGTGGAAAGAGAGGATCTCATTACTATCAAAAAAGAAGAACTGGGAGCAGAGCATGTCCTTTAGACCCAGGATCCCTGTGCTCAGAACTTCCTAGATCCAGGAGACAGAGACTTGTAGCACCAGAAATGAGACAGTGAAAAGACAAGAAATAGCAGCAGAGAAACGGCAGCAGCAGAACCAGAAGACTGGCGATTGACAGCATGGTGGACTTTCTGGCCATGGAGTGAGAAAGTTGAGTGCCTTTAGGGCAGAAGGCTTGCTTTAGGAGTGGGATGTCTTTGAGCATTTGTTGGGGGAGCTAGGTTTGCCAGTCCACAGAGCTAGAGCTCAGCACCTTTGGACTGAGGCTCACTGATGGAGTGGGGTGCCTCTGAGCATTTATTGACACAACTAAAAGAGCTTTGTGACAGTTGCTAGAGCAGAGCAGAGGTGAGGGTCAGGGCAGAGAGCCAGAGAGAAGCCTGCCTGTGGGCATGTGTTTTGTTTACCTAGTGCCACTCTGTTGGGAAATATACCACAAATGAGATGGCTTGAACACACAGGAATTTATTCTCTCACAGTTTGGAGGCTTTAAGTCCAAGTTCAGAATGCCAGGCTCTAGGAGCTGGGTGACAGCCCCTTCAACCTTGGGCATCAGCGCTGCTTCCTGTTCCTGGCTCACTGAAGCTGGAGGCTTTTCTTTACTCAGACAGCTGCTGGCTGCTGAGGCTGACAAGCCCAGGGTTGGCAAGGAAAAAGGCACAGTCCCAGTGTTACCAAACAATATGGCAGGCCACTAATTCAAGTCCAGATGAAGTCCCAAGATCAGCAGGGCATGGCAGGCTATTGAACAACGACTTGGCTACATGCAGGGTTCAAGTGTGCCAAAAAGCTAAAGACCATTCCCAAAGCTGTTTCTTATATACAGGAAGCAGACCACATCCCTAAAGCAACTACTCCTCTGCTCATGGCAGATTCCACCATGGAGCTGACTGCCAGTCTCATCATGGGGAATAACTACCACCAGCTGCCCAGCCACTCAACCAGGCCCAGCCAAGTTGACACACAACCTTAACTACCACAGCATGGCTGAGGAGAGGCTCAGGGCCCAACAATGCATGGGAGAGAAGAACACAGGGAAGATATGGGGAGGAAGTGAGAGGAGAGCTGTTGTACTGTGAGAGATTACAGTCAATGTCATACGACAAAGTATATGTGAACTGCTGTATGGAAGATGAATTTGCTCTGTAAACTTTCACCCAAATCACAATAAAATAATAATTTTAAAAAAAAGTCTCTGGGATAAAGCAAGAGTTGTAATGACTGCACCACATGTCAGGTGACAAACAGCAGCAGGCAAACCTGTTCTTTGCGCTTGTAAGCAGAGTACATGGAGTCAGCCTGATGACCTTGCTGGAAGTAAGAAGCAAGATTCTTATCAATGTTTCAGTTTAATCTGTGCTGCTGTTTCCTCTCCCCTGTGCCACCTCCACTCGCAGTTCAGTATGGAGGCTCAGGCCTGGGCTACCTGGAGCACGTGCTGGTGATGGAAGAGATATCCCGAGTTTCTGCAGCAGTGGGACTCAGTTATGGTGCCCACTCCAACCTCTGCATCAACCAACTTGTGCGCTTTGCAAATGAGGCCCAAAAGGAGAAGTATCTTCCCAAGGTGAGGAAATGGGAATGGAGAAGCAGCACACACTGATGTCAGGGTGCAATCATACCAGCTACTAGGTACCCTCCCCAGTTGGTGAGGGCCAATCAGATTTGCTTTCTATAGCCTGCTGCCCTGAACCAACTATGATTAAACAATATGATTAGAAAAGGGCCAGAGATGTGCTTTAAAATGGTCCAGTCAAAAAAATCCTCCAACAACAGAAAAATCCACTATCTAAAACAGAACAATCAGAATGTAATTAAAGAGAATGTTGACACTTTGTGGGAAATGTAACTAATGTCACTGGACAATTTGTGTAGAAATTGTCAAATGAGAAGCTAATTTGCTGTATAAATTTTCACCGAAAACACAATCAAATGTTATTTAAAGAAACAAAAGAAACATTAGGAAATCTAAAAATTTGGCCATACTGGAAGAAAATTTACAATTTAATTAAATCACACAGGAGTTTTAAAAATGTAAGTCCTCCAAAAAATAAACAAATTTAACTTAAAAAAAAAAAAATCAAAATACGGCCAGAACTCCTGGGATTAGACTCAATGGACAACATTTAAAGAGAATTGTTAAGAAACAGAAGAAGACAACCAGCTTCCCTTGCAAAGGAGTCCTTTTTAGCCTGTCAATACAGAGCTTCTCTCGTAGGACTTCACCAATGCCCTGGTCTGAGAAGTTTGAAGGGGCACAATGTGAACAGGCAAGAAGCAGAATTAAGAGTGAGCTCTCGTAAGGTGCTTTTGAAGTCATAACGAGGCCCTTTGCGATTCTCCTTGCAGCTGATCAGCGGGGAGTACATTGGAGGCCTGGCCATGAGTGAGTCCAATGCAGGCTCTGATGTTGTCTCCATGAGGCTAAAAGCAGAAAAGAAAGGTGAGCTTGAAAGGGCAGAGGGACAGACTTTTTCAGGGTCTAGTGGTACAGTGATTAAGCACCTGACTGCTAACCAGAAGGTTCAAACCCACTGGCAGCTCCATAGGAGAAAGATGTGGCAGTCTGCTTCCATAAAGCCTTGGAAAACCTATGAAACAGTTCTACTCTGTCATATAGGGTCGTTATGAGTCAGTCAAGTTGATTTGATGGCAACTTGAGAGAGCAACAAGTGGGAGTGGCACTCAGTTATGCCTAACTGGTTCCTAACTGCTTCCCAAGTAGGCAGGTTGCTCAGCCTTAGGTCTGTGTGCTCTCTGAGCCAGGCCAAGACAGCTTGAGCAAACAGCCAACTGCCTATCCTTAGGAGATCACTACATCTTGAATGGCAACAAGTTCTGGATCACCAACGGCCCCGACGCAGATGTCCTTATTGTTTATGCCAAGACAGATCTGACTGTTGTGCCACCTTCTAAGGGTATCACGGCCTTCATTGTGGAGAAGGTGAGAGTGTAGGTGGGTCTATCTGCAGGGAGGTGTTTTGACAATGGTCCCAGAGATGGTTGCCATCAGTCTATCATGAGTATAATTACTGTTGTTTGCTCTGCCAAGACTCCCTGGGGTGGGGATAAGGAGGAGAGGAGATTTTGAAGAAGACTGAAAGGAGAGTAAACTAAAAGTAGAGTCTAAGGAGAATCCAAGGAGGATAGCCCAGGTCTGAAGATGATGGAGCCATCCAGAGCCAAGTGAGACAGAGAGATCTGGAAAGAGGCCTGAAGGGAAGCTGCTGGATTTGGCAATCAGTATGTTAATAGTAGGAGCTCTGGTAGTGTAGTGCCTAAGGCATTTGACTGCTAAACAGAAGGCTGGAGGTTTAAACCCACCAGCCACTCCTCACAAGGAAGACTGGGCAATCTAGTTCAGTTGAGATACCACCTTGGAAATATGAGTTGGAATGACTCGATGGCAGCGAGTTTGGTTTTTTTGGTATATTAACAGTGAACTTGTGGAGACCAACTGTGGGAGGCTGACGTGTGAGGTAGACAGAAGTGGAGACTACACCTTCAAAAATGTTGGCAGTAAAAGCAAGAGGAGCTGATATTAAAAGTTTGGAGTTTGAGTTGGTTTTTAAGAATGGAGGCAAAGTGAACAAATTTGTCAATATGAAAAGAAAGGAAGATAGGAGAGAGAAACTGAGATGTGTAGGAAAGAGTAAGTAAAACCCAATGGTGAGTTGAAGTGGCAGGTGTAAGGACAGGCTACAGGTGATGGCAGAGGAAACATCTGCCTAATGCTTAAAGTAGGAGGCCAGGGTATCTGTGGGGGTGGGGGGAGCTGGTTGAGTCTAATGAGTGTTGTAAAGGTTTGCAATACCTTCCTTAAGATGAGGCACAGCAGCTGATGCAGAGAAGAAAACTGAGTAACCAAAATTGCCCAGCAGAGATTGAAAATCTCAAGGTCGTGTAAAATCTAGAGTGTTAGCCTGGAGGGGAAGGGAGCAGCCCTTGCTTATACTCTACCTGAGCACCTGTCAACATGCATAGTATCTAATTAGCCAATTAATCAAAGCAAGCAGGAGGCTGAATTGATCGAGTGGGACTCAATCAGTATGACTGGCAGAAGAACAAGGGGGCAAGTGAATTGAGTGGGCTGTTGAGCATGTCTTGGAAATGATTTTCCCTGAAGGAAGGAAACAAAGTCAGGGAGGGTAAGGAAGACTCAAGGGACTGGGTGTTTCAATAGGAAGGACCACTACCATGAGAACTGGGGAGAATGCAAGCTAGCAGAAGAGGCAGTTCGGGATCAGGGTGGGCTGTTAGGTCTGGAGGTTTTATAAGTGGAAGTCTCCCCAAGTCCAGAGCAGGCTGTGGGAGTAGGTACTGGTGCACTACGCAGGTGGAGGGACTTGATGGGAATGTGGACATGGTCCTTGGGGCTTTCCCCTTACTTGGTCCCTTTGGGAGAGCTCATCTGTAATCAGGGCCACCTTTTGTTTCCTGTGAAGGGCATGCCTGGCTTCAGCACTGCCAAGAAGCTGGACAAGCTGGGGATGAGAGGCTCTAATACCTGTGAGCTAATCTTTGATGATTGCAAGGTTCCTGGTGAGTTTAAAAACCATCTGAGTAAGTTGAGGAAAGCCAGACTCAGTGGAAGGAAGGTAATTCAGTTTGAATATAAGCATTTTCTCCCCTGAAGTATAATGGAATTTGACACCATGTGGCATCATTGGAGATGGGCACACCAATTGCTTGTGAATGAGACCTAATGAACTATGAGTTAGGTGCACTCTGGGCCTCAGCCATAGACCATACTGCCCCCATGACCTGTTCTCCTCAAAAAGTATGCTTTAATTGAGGGAACAGAAGGGTAGCATTTGCATAGGGAGATGGCTTGGGGGACAGGAATGCATAGGAAAGAAAGACACAGGGAAGAACTACAGGAAGGAAGTGGGAAGAGAGCTGTTACATTGTGGGGAGTTGCAATCAATGTCATGAAACAAAATGTATATGAACTGCTTTATGGAAAATGAATTTTCTCTGTGAACTTTCACCCAAATCACAATTAAAAAAAAAAAAAAAAGTATGCTTTAGCTACAAGGACCATGTCAGGAGAAGAATCAGTGATGACCCTTTTGTCAACAGGAAAACTCAGACAGCAGGAAAGGCAGGTCGGTGCTGTGCAATTTTGTGTAGTTGGGTTCTTGCCCACAACTGTAAAACACCACCCTGGGGGAGATGCCTTTGGGCCAGAGCAGATTCAACTTAAGGGAAAGAGTAATTCTTTAGTTCCTTTATGAGTACTGGTGTCAAAAGAACTAGGGAAGGCCTTGTGTGCTATGTACACACACTTTGTGCATTTCTCTCACAGCTTGGGGGTGGCATATGCACACCAACTGATGTCTCTGTCCTAAGTCATGGCTCTTGCTGTCCAGGCCATTTATTGCAGCACTTGAGGTTACAAATCCAAGTGCCTTCAGTTCAAGAAGTTAAAAGAGAGTTCCCTGGCTGCCTGGACATCAGCAGAGAGGAGATACACCCACCCCCACCCCCACCCCAGACCCCCAGATTCTTTGAAGTGATGGTAGCAGGAAAGTAGGTTCACTGTAAGAGAGATGGTGGCTACATGTACATAAAGAGCAAGTTTCTGAAGATGGTAGCCACCATCAAAGCTGTGTTGGCTCAGGGGTAATGTGCCCTGAAGGTAGAGTCCAGGGAACCTGACCCTGCTGCTCTCAGCAGACACTTCATGACAGGAAGGACTTTGCCTACATGTGTGTGTGCCAGGAATCTAGCTTTTCCCACTGGCTTTGCTGTCCTCCTCTCCCCTGCTTTTGCCATCTTTCCCTGTTTACCTTCAGAATTTGGGGGAGCTCTTTCCTCAGCTTTCTTCACAAGTGGGGCCCAGAGAGGGATCATTATGTGTGGGTGTGTGAGTGTCTCAAATTACGGCAACATTTGCAATGATTCACTGGACAAGTTGAACAAAGGGGAAAAAAAAAAGAGAGAACAGTTTGATGACTTCTAAACCAAACTGCTTCTCTTGTTCCCATCCACAGCAGTCCAAAAGGAGAAGGGAAAAGATCAAACAGTTTGGGGCTTTGTGTCTGGTCTTGATGATGATGCGAGAGTCCCTCCAACAAGCTCCTATTAGGAAGTTCCACTTCTGACCTGAAGTGGTAAACTTGATCCTTTTCTCTCTCACCCAGAACCCTACCTGTAGGTCAACTGACCTATTTAAGTACCTTTGTGTGAGAGCCACATTACCAAGCCTAGTACCTTTTGTAAAAGTGAGGAGGCTGTGGACAGTCTTCCTCCCCCTGACCAGCCCTTTTCCTGACAGCTGCCAACATCATAACCAACCTGAATCAGGGTGTGTACATGCTGATGAGCGGGCTGGACATGGAGCGGGTAGTGCTGGCTGCAGGGCCAGTTGGGTAAGTGTGAGGAGCTGGGTTCTTTCAGGCTCCCTGGAATGTGGTGCCTTTCTTCTGACGTGCCTCTGGGTGAAGTTGAACCATCACCCTTTTGGTTAGCAGTAGAATGCTTGACTGCTCGCACCATTCAGGGACATCAGGTCATGAGGAGGCATAGGGAAAAGGGAGCGGCACTTCTTGCCCTTCCCTTTGTGGGGGCAAAGGGAGCTACCTCCTGGCCGTTGCACTCTCCTAGGGACAGAAGGAACCTCCTCCTCCCATGCTTCATTTCTTCACTCAGAAGAGAAGTACTTTTAGGTGATAGTACTGAGGCCTAAGGAGCAATACTGCTTCATTACTCAGGATGTGAAATGGTGGAATGCCTGAGCTCTAATGCTTGTCTATCACCCAGGCCCTACTACTGCCATACCTGGTCTCAGGAGAAAGGAGCACACATGCTAAGCACCTGGTACAGTAACAGGCAGTGGAGATGAGTTTCTTATGCTTCTGTTCTCCTCCCTGGGGCTCTAGTTCCTTATCTTGTTCAGTCTCCCCCACATTGGCCTTTTGCTGCCCACACTGGCAGTGGTGGGACAAGGAGGCGCCTCCCCAATGTATTTCTCCCTCTGGCAGGATTATGCAGTCCGTCCTCGACCACGCTATTCCCTACCTACACACAAGGGAAGCCTTTGGCCAGAAGATTGGCTACTTCCAGGTGAGTGGCATGTTTGGTTGAAATGTACACTTTCAATGGGTTACTTATTTTCTCAGTGAATGAATGAGAAGTGGAGCATGTACTGAGCACACTTACTGTCCTCTAGCAAGATTAGATGAGATGCTTGAAAGGTAGCCTTCTTCACCATTCTTCCTGGCTTTGGAAGTTTTTAGGAAATTTATCACATTGTCAACTCAATTCCTGTTTAGGATTGATTAACTACATTCTGAGACATTGTAAGTTTGGAGGGTGAAGTGTGCAAGTTGTGGGTAGAACCAGTTGCTGTCAAGTTGACCAACTCAATGGCAACCCCATGTGTATCAGAGTAGAACTGGGCTCCATAGGGTTGTTTTTAAACTGTCATTGTGATGAAAATGTACACAACAAGACACTTACCAAAGAGTTCTGGCAAGATGGCGGACTAGGTAGAAAGACCGCACAGACCCTCTTCAACAAAGAAAAGGGAAACCAATTAACACAGACACAGAAGATAATCTTGGACCCCTGAGCCTTGAAGGGAAGGAT